CTTTATTAAAAGATTTTAAATTTAAATATAAACAGTGTTATTCAGGATGAATACCAGTTTCCTTCTTGCTTGTTCCTTTTGACCTTCAGTCATTTTTCGTATCTTTTGTCAAATGTAAACGCGTGTTTTGTTTTATATTATTTTGGATTTTGTTTTAAGTGTATTTTAACTTTTGGTTTTGAATTTGATATTCTATTATATTTGTTCAATTATTAAAGTAAGAAATTTTCCAGTTTGGATAAAAAAGATGAAGTTAAATTTGGAGGATGTGTTAAATTTGATGATTAATATATTTTTTCAACTAAACTGACATTTCTACTGAAGATGAGGATTGTTTCCTCGAAATCGATTTAGAAGCATAATAAAATAAATAGCAAGAGGAAAATTTTGTTTTATTTAATTGACTTAATTGTAAGAATGTACGTTGATTTATATTTAACAAAGTGTTTATTAAATATCAAGTGTTGTGTTATAGAGATATAACAAACTGGCGATGAGACACATTGTTACGTACCTCCAAAAAGGTTAGTTATAGCCGAAAGATATATAAATCTGGGAAGAAGCATTGCTAACGGAAGAGAAATTAACATTTTGATAAAGCTTTTCAGTTTGCTGTCAGCATGGAGTCAGCACAAGGACAAATGAAAGTTATGGGAGCGGAAACAATAATGTGTCCACCAAAATAACAGAAAATGTCCAGCAATAGGATGAAAATGTTATTCATGCTTAAATCATACGAAAAGAACTTTATTTATCGTTACTTGACATTAACAAAACAAAAAATCAAAAATACTTGTGATAGTAATTATTTGTTATAAATTATAAAACTATTTAACTTATTTATTTATATTAATTGTAATATTTGTATTTGAGCAATGACTAATATTGAACGAAGGTGGGGAGTTTATATTTAAATTAATATTTTCTTTACTTATAGAACTAATCTGATTGATATTTTCAGTTTGGTAGTTACGTATAGTAGTCTCTTGTATTGAATTCGATATTTTCTGAGCTGTATCCATTTTATTTTTAATTGATTCATCAATGTAGCCCTCCCCGACCGATGTGGATTTCCAACCCTCGTGTCTCTTTAGTGTTGTTATGTCTCCACCTGCATCGACGAGTAAAGTTGCAGACTATTTGCGGAAACTATGTCCGGAATATTTCTCGGGATTTGACAGTTTCAAAAACTCAGCTATTTGTCTTCCCATTTTTGTGAATTTGTTAATACCGATCCTTTGTGAAGTGCACTTGTCATTTTGGTAATTCATAAAAAACGCCTGAGAAGTTACATATGCCGGACGGAGATCGATGTATTTTTTAAGAATCTGATAAAAATTATCAGTAATAGTAAATTTTCTATTGATTTTTGTTTTGGTATTGGGCACATTTACCAAAAAGGTTGATCCAAGGTCTTTTATGTCTTCCATTTTCATGTTATACATTTCATTTGCCCGGCATGCACCCATTATTTCCATTATCATTGTAACCTCATAACAAAGAATTATATTTCATTAATATTATTTAAACAAGTTTTTTAATTGTATTAAGATGTACCTAATTTTGTTTATTTATGAGGAGCTAGCAGTAGAACAGGCTGCATTTCAATGTTGCCTGAGTTGGCCCCTATTAGCTTTTGCTATGTATATAAGTACACATTGTTTTTTTTTCATTGTATTCAAAAAAGGCTAATAAAAGTTATTAGTATTATTATTAATGTAGCTAATTTCTTACCTTGATTGCAAGATATTTTTTATCACATGCTTCAATAACATGCTTTCTTCGGATAAAAGCCTTCAGACCTCCGTTTTAAAAGTGAACGCAGTTTTATATATTTTTCTATATTGACTTCTTGATTTATATTAAGCGTACTCCTAAGCATAGAGTAATGTGTTCATAATGTGGATGGCTTATATTTTGCAGCTAATTCTGTAAAATATACCAGCAAAACTGACTCTGAGAATGAACTAATATTCTTGCTTGCCCTCCAGTCCATAAAGGTGTTGTACACAGATACGTAAACATTTCGGGATTTCTCAGGCAATAAATTCAGGGAAGTGATTTTTGCAGCTTCTGTTATCTCCGGTGGCGTACACATTATCTCTTCCTCACTATCAATTTCCATTTTTTATGTATTTTTTAAAATTGCAGCACCGCATCGTTAAATTGACGTTTTTTGCAATTTTGACGTTTGAAATTCAATGTTACCAACTTCACAACACTTTGTCAAAATTAAATGTCAATTTTATAAAACGTCGTTTTCTTAACGAAAATTAATTAATTTATGCTTAAATCATACGAAAAAAGGAATTTGTTTAGGTTTTTTTAATGTCAAACATTTAGAAACTCCTAAAAAATTGAATTAAATTGAGGTTTTTTGAAATTTTAATGTTTCAAATAATTATTATTAGTCTGTCAAGTTGGTTACCCGTGAAGTTGATAATGATTATTATTCACCGCTATTATTCACTCTGTGAAAAATGACTACCATTTTGTTTTATAAAACTCAACTATAAGGTATATATTATAATGTAGTTGTGGACAAAGTATAATAAATGCTGCGATCCAACCTACTCAACGGTTCAAACGCAACTGAGTGTTCCTTCCAAACCGAGTGTAATCCTTCGAAATTCAATCGTCCCCTCCACTACACGACGGCCTGTATTTCTAGTTGGCTTTGACTTAATCCAATTAAGTGCATGAAGTTAAAAAAAATTAACTAAATATAAAAAATGAATTTTTATTGGAAAAAAAAATTTGCAAAACGTCCCTTAAAAGGGACACTATGCACTAATGGGTTAAATAGTTGTTTATGTAACCAGTTATGAAAAGACTATATTAAACCGTTTCATAACGCAATACCAGCAATACTATATTAAAAAACAAGTTTCGTAAGACACGCTTGAAATGCACGAATTCAAGTTGAAAAACGAGTGGCGAAGCCACGAGTTTTTTAATGAATGAGTGCTTTAAGTCTTATGAAACGTGTTTTTTATGCTATTTTTTGTAATTCGCGTTTTTATCCTTTTTTTTTTAACAAAAATAAAATAAATTTTGACAATGTAGGGAAATAGGTATGCAGCAGTTGGTAACACCGTAACACTTGAAAATAGAAATTTGAATTAACAATTAGAAACTGTCAAAACACAAAATGTATTCACCTGAAAAAAATGTTTCATGTACACCTCCCAAAATAAGAGAAATTGCTCAGTGTTCAATGTCCTCATCATTGTGTACCTTGTATTCGATGCTAAGAACGTGTTTAAACATCCATAGACAAAAATTGTCACATTGACAACTAGAAAAATTAATGTCCCAATGTCACCAACTTGAACTGGTTCCATAAAATGTTACTAAAATCTCATTACAGCATCGGATGCTGTAAGGAGTCTCATTACAGCACCCGTTTGAGTACTGTTAGAGCTTTCGTTACCGTCGCGAATTACAAAAAATTATTCCTTTAAAAAAAAATTATTTATTTTACGTTTCAAAATTAGCCATTTCATAATGTGTTAAGTACGAAATTTTATCTAATTCCATTGACTCATTACAACAAATCATTACATCTGTTGATGATTTTAAACTAGTTTGATGATCATTAATAAATATTAGTTTTTGTCAAATAATTCGATTGATTATTGTGTTCAACTGATTTAAGAATAATGCTAAATAGAAAACCACGATTACTGGACGATTACTCAGAGAACGGGTAGTTCTCTTGTATGTGATCAGACTGATCAGTGATCACGAAACAACATTACTAGTTATAAAAAAACTGACGTTACAAAACGTCAGATAGACATGTAATAGTTATTTATATTACAAGTGGGCTAGAAACATAATTGCAGTACGAGCGTGGAGAATTGCACGACGAGGTCGTGGACCGAGTCGTGTAATCACACGAGTATATACAGCATTTTATCTACGACTGCTAAAAATTGCTTAAAAATCAATTTCTTTAGAAAAGTCTATTTTACATTTATAAAAATATTTTGAAATGATTGTTAACAATTTTGAATTGTCAGTTTCAACAACATGTTTACTCATGTGAAATAAGTGTTTTGAAATGTAAAAACATAATAATTAATGTTTGTAATAAATAGTATTGTTTCTCTGTAAGTAGATAGCACTTTTTCTTTTGTATTGTTGCTCGTTTCTATAAATTAAGTCTGTTTTGATTAGGCTAAAAATGCGTTACGTAATGAAACCAGTGCGGTAATGAACTTCATTACGTAACTCAAATCACCCCAAATGAATGCGGTAAAGATGACTTATCCAAGCAGTCGTAGATCAATTTTAATTTTCATAACGGAATTAGATAATAGTTATTTGTATTATAAGTAAAGAAAGTATACTTTTTAGAAAATTCGCGATTCGTAAAGAAGAAGTTTTTTTCTTTAAGAATAATACATGAAGTTTTTTCGGACACTCAATTTAAATGAATTACCTACATTTTATAAGAAATTATTTAAAAAGTACACGACGAGCTCGAGAATCAAATTGTCGTTACTGCCGTTTCCCTCACTACAGCAATCAAACAAAAAAAATAAAGTAGTGATTCATCAGAAGGTGTTATCAAAATCGTCACTAACATGTGGTGATTTACAGTTACAACAGTGTACATCAAGTATAAGCTTCTCTAACCTTAATAATTGTACGTTTAATATTTATTCTAATAAATAATTAATTGTTTATTTGGTTGCTATAAAGAAATGGTTGCTATAAAGAAATGAGGTACTTTTCTTTACGATTTGTAATAAGGAAATATAGGCCATTTCCAGTGAGTGTCCGAAAAAATTATTTTATCTACGACTGCTTGGATAAGTCATCATTATCGCACTCATTTGAGGTGATTTGAGTTACGTAATGAAGTTCATTACCTCACTGGTTTCATATACTTAATATCATATACTTAATTTTAGACCTTAACCAAGATAGATAATCTGTTAGAAAATAAGATAAACAAGTTGATTTAAATGCGCCATCTTGAAGAAACCACGTTTATCGACGTACCTTCAAAGGAAATTCAATGGGATCAATAATACGAAACTGACCATGCAGCAATCTGATGATCAGTTCAGGATTGATTTTAGTTTAATTGTTTTTATCATAAATCATTCCTTACAATTACAATTTTGCTGATAGTTCCTACAAAAAATCGCTGAAATTCCAAACTTTTCTTCCATTGTGTTGGCGACTGATGTAGTAAATGATGTAGCGTTTACATGCAGCGGTATAAATACACTCATATCTGGGCTTGATTTGGTGAAGCCTATAATAATAATAATAATAACAATAATTTATTTGTGATATCCACAAAAGGTGACGGAATGGTCATAACACCGAACTGGATACATTTCGTCCTACAGCACTCGGTGAACACCACACGACCCATTACTCGCACTCATTTTCTTTGAGCGCGGAATAATGTATGCATAGAACGTCCCCAACACAAAACACCATAAGACATGTGACAATAGAAGTTTCCGTATTCCGCCATAATTAACACCTCAGGTGGTACCACTCCTGTCAAATTTCGCAGAGCATATATGCTTCTGTTCAATTTGTTTACTAAGTCCACTATGTGACCTTCCCATGTTAATTTAGAATCTATTGTAATTCCCAGATATTTTATGGAAGTCACGATATGGTTGAGCTGTTCTCGATTAAGAGAAAAGTGTATGGTCTGCGTCTTCGACTGATTAACAATAAGATAATTCGCTGTGAACCAGGCAAAAACAAGTTTGTACATATAGATGGTAGTTGTGTCATCAGCATATAATATAATGCCGATCCCTGAGGAACTGTACACTCAACAAGCAGCTCTTCAGATATTTCTGAGTTATAAAATATGTATTGAAAACGATTTCTCAAACAAGAGCCCTACAAATCTTTACCTCCATCTGTAATGTTGTAATTGCGCTAATAATTTATTATCCCTTGTATGTGATCGACGAGTGTTCCAACCGCCGTGGTTATCGATTTACACTTCCAGAATCTATACTGGAACTGATTCAGCAAATTATTATTCTCTTCTAAGTGACGTGTCAGTTGGCGGTGCAAAGCCATTTCGAACAACTTACCCAATACTGGTATTATTGATATGGATCTATCGTTATTATCTTCCCTTTTAAAGACCGAAACAACCCTGGAGATTTTCAAGTAATCGGGAAAAATTGAGCCTTTAATACATTGATTTATTAGATTACATAATGGAACAACTATCAAATTCTTTATATGTTTTATAAGTTTAACGTTAAGTGAAAAAGCATCCCTGCTTGAACTGGTTTTTGAATCACAAACAATATCTCGCAATTTGATGAAAGATATTTCTCTAAACCGGAAAAGTGGGTCAACCTGCATGTCATCCACAGGATTTACTACCTCTACAATTGAGAAAGTAGTTGATGCTCGAATGTTCCCAAAATACACATTAAAATCGGTAGCTGTTAGTGAAGTTAATGACGATTTTTGTTGTTTCTTTGTGCGATTGCCTGAGGCCATTACTGCTCAAGTTGCCTTTTCTATGTTTTTAGAGTTTTTATTTATTCGCTAACCTTTTACTATTTAATATAGCATTTTTGTAAACTTTTCTGTTTATTCAACATTTGTTTCGTAACAAGTCGCGGATGTTGCTTATACAGGAACGTTAACAATTAACAATTGAAGTTTATCTCTCAAGTTTCTTATGAACCAACGTATGTTGCGGTTTGCACTTTTATTGTTAACTAAAAAGGTCTTTTCGGGAAAACACAAGTCGTAGGTATTCGTAAAGAATTGCATGAACTTACAGAATTTTGCATTTACGCATTGATACAATCCTTGTGTCGTTAGAGATTTATACTTAAATCTAGTTTTTGATATGTGAATTTCACACTGAATTTTAGAGTAGAATGGAATTTCCAGATGATGTAAAATTGGTAAATATCGTGGGGTTACTGCAAGAACCTGATAAGTCCTCGATAAGCATTTTTGAGAAAAACGAGATTAATGTTTATCATATTACTAAAAATCAAGCTGAACTTGAAAACCTTTATTTTAAACAAAAATACATTCTATTACTGTATTGAAACACAAATAAATTGCAAACAAACATAAACTTTGTTTCTGCGAGGTAAAGAAAAAAAAAATTTTTTAATGTGGGACTTATCTGGTTTTGGCTGA